TGGTTCAATAATGACGCGCACTAACCCGAACTCAATTACGAGTCGTTATATGTCGTCGTCGTCAGCCTCCAACTTCCCACTGCCGAGCAAATGTCTCCCCGATTTGTTTTTACCTTTCGTTCCTTTCCCGAGTTGCATTGTTCCGTGTGATGTCCGTTGAAATTGTTTCGCACCGTACGTAGCCAACCGCGCTAACCGGAGGCGAGTCCTTGTCCAGTCGTGTCATCCGTACTCCGCAGTAGCCATGGAACGTTGGGCCAACAGTTTCAACCGCATGCCTACGTCGGCCCAACGTTGGCATGTTTACTGTGTCTCATTCTATTAGTGATTAAAAAATATATATTGTAGAAATTGTAAAGGACTGACATTGGAACGTTGGCCGAGTGGAACACCCAATCGAAGCCGCCGTGCTCTCATCCGAAATTCAGTGGCAAAGCTGCACAGCCGCTAAGCGTGCTGGAACTTGGAGTGCCTCCCGTTGAGTTGACGGATGGCTCGAGGAAGAACACGGTTTTCTGTTTTGCTCATCGGCCCTGGCTTCGCGCATTAACACCCGTGTCAGGCAACGATACTGAACGATGAACATTTTGGACGCTTCCAATTAGAGGCTCGCTCCTACCCAAACGCGTGAGCCTTGACGGAACGGGCGCCGGTGGTAATTTACGCGTTTTACTGTCCGTGATTTCAGTGGTTTTAACTAAAAATAACCGCGAGATGGAATTTGCCGAGTTTCCCCACGCAGCGCGGAATGCACAGGGAAGAGTGTCGGTGTGCAGCGTGGGTGCGCGGTGTGCCGCCAACATCTTCCAATTGCAACGAAACCACCAACACAACCACCACCACAAGCATCATCAGCAGCAGCACCACTACCCGCACAACTTTCAGCACCATCATCACCGTCAGCACCATCACAACCCACAACCACCATGACCATCATCAGCACCATCATCACCACCATGACCATCGTCATCATCATCAGTGCCACCATCATTGTCCATCAGCCATACCTCTACCAACAGCACCACCACCTGCACCACTGCACTCAGACTGAGACTGCAACATCATAACAATATGTTGTTGTTGTTTTTAGCTCGAATCACAAGGAATAAAGGTGGAACGATTTGGCATTCCAGTTACTCGATATGCATTGTTGTGATTCTGGGATGCAATTCATTATTCTGTTGTCAACATCACAGCGACCTCTTGTGGCTGCACACGACGTACGCATTGGAATGGAATACAAATCTTTATCGATTCATAGACATGCAAATTCGATGTAAATGATGTGAGCGTAAGAATCTAAATGCATCGTTGCAGCTCTGCTTGGTGGAATTTCAGACGGAAAAAAAAACCACGCTCAGAGTCAGCTGCTGTGGAGGAGCGGTGGTGCAGTGGTTGGCGCACTGTAACTCTGAACCTGGCCACTTGAGTGCAATTCCTGGTCCCGGATGACATCAGTGGCGAGTGATATCCGAGCCGGTCCTGGGCACCCCCCTCCCCCCCAACTTGACCCTTCACCAACCCGCGCTGACCAGCGTGGTGAAGTATGGTCAACACCCCCCACGCCCCCCGTGACTAACACGGCATGGGGAGGCCTTCATCCAGCAGTGGATCGACAAAGATCTGCACATTATTCATTTTAATCAACTGCATTACAATTGTAACCACCCGTTTTACTGTTACACCGTTAAACATAAAATCCCATTACTGGAATACGCCTTCTGTACATATGCATAACATATATTTGCGATGTATCCTTACACAGTATATACACACACGCGTGGGGCGGTCAAAGAGTTTTGAGAACAGGATATTTTAGAGGTACGATTAGACTCGAACTTATTGCTTCGTGTTTCTTTATCACAATCGCGAACACCAATGCGTCAATTCTATAACAGCACGTGGCATCATAAATTGGTCAGTGGCGGTGGCTCGTGGCTCCAGGTAGCGGAGGCTACAAAAGTCCACCTCGGAGGTTTTGCCAGTCTCAGTTGATCACGCAAGCAGGGGGACTTATTTACAATCGGAACAGAAAGGACACGCGTGGTCATAACGATGACGGAAGCGTGTGTATGTTGGAGCTATCCTCGCGCCGTATGTAATTTTGCTGTCTTTTCTTGGATTTTCTGTTTGCACTTAGTCACATATTCACTTTAAGATGTTTTTTGTTCATGTTTTGTTTTTTGTTTGTTGCGGTTGCACCCGATTCAAGAGCCGAATGGCTCACAGGGCTATACCTAATAAATGAACTTGAAACTTGAAATTGAAACCAACCGTTGCTAATCGGAGGTGGGCACACCAGAACCAGTGATGGCGTCCCGCTGGACCACTTCTCAGTGGGTCTCTATTTGAATCTATGGGTCTCCATGTGAGTCTATGGGTTTCCATGTGAGTCTATGGGTCTCCACGTGAATCTATGGGTCTCTATTGGAATCTATGGGTCTCCATGTGAGTCTATGGGTTTCCATGTGAGTCTACGGGTCGCTTTATGAGTCAATGGGTCTCTATGGGAGTGTATGGGTCTTCATTTTAGTCTATGGGTCTCTGTGAGTCTATGGGTCTCTATGTGAATCTATGGGACTCTATGTGAGTGTATGGGTATCTATGGGAGTATATGGGTCGTAATTTTAGTGTATGGATCTCTATGTGAGTCTATGGGTCTCTGTGAGTCTATGGGTCTCTATGTGAGTCTATGGATCTCTATGGGAGTATATGGGTCTCTGTGAGTCTATGGGTCTCTATGTGAGTCTATGGGTCTCTATGGGAGTGTATGGGTCTCTACGTGGGTCTATGGGTCTCTATGTGAGTGTAGGGGATCTCTATGGGAGTGTATGGGTCTCTGTGGTAGTCTATTGATCTCTATGGGAGTGTGTGGGTCTCCATTTGAGTATTTGGCTTCTCTGTATGAGAACATGCTGATGACGAAGCCACTGCCGGGCAATTCAAGTTTCTCAAAACTGCAATTTCACCTGCACGCGTCATCACCTGAGAATGGAAACCCCGGATCAGAGTTTGTGGCTTCCTCAGCCCGGAGCCATGAACCGACACTGAGGATGAATTCAAGATCGGGTTTACCCAAAATGTGGCCAACTTTTCATCGTATTTTTTTCTAGTATCTCGCTCTCAAAACACGTTTCAATCACATTTTACACGATAAATTATCATACATTTGCTTCGTAATGTCCGTAATATCATTCAACGTGCACGACTTACAATTGAGCTTAGCACGCAAGCCGGACAGGAGGTGACGATCACGATTACATTCGGTAACAATTATTGCCTCTTTGACTTTCAACTGTGGGTGGGTAGGTGGGTTGACGCGGGCGAGGGGACATTCAAAATGCTGTCAAGTATACTTTTTGGTTCTTTCGGTAAAGTCACGAAAGAAACAAAGAGTATGGATTCCTGCAGTCACGAAAGCTTCAATTCAATGCTGTAAAGTGTTTCAGCTGCGCAGTATCCGTGTCGTCTCGCGTCTCTCGCTTCACTCAGTCCCTCGCCACGAACGGCTCCCGCACCTTTGCTCAACAGCAACATTCACCGCGCAAAAAAACCCCAATGAAAAACAACCCCAACACCATTACCCCTCTTCCTTTCGTTTGTAGACCGATAACCGAGTGCTTTTGTTGTTGTTGTTGTTGAAAATACTACAAAGAGAAAGGAAATATCTTTTAGACCGCCGAGTGTCCGCATCCCTTTTGTATTTTTTGTTGTTGTTGTCGATTGAAATTGTAAAAAAGGGGGGGTTACGCTTACTCACACCTACCACGTCATCATTCTCAATACTGCAAAACACCCGACAACGATGCGCGAAAATACGGAGCGACGCCAACCAACGCAGCGTGGCGAATCTTTTTTTTTAACTTACGAACTTCTCTTGTTCACGACCCCTCGATGACCGCATAATTTTGTACATATATATAATTTACATTCATGCATAAACACGTGTGTGCGTGCGTGCATGCGCGCGTGTGTGCGCAATGTGTGTGCATTCGGCGAGGGATGTCACGCCGGTCAGATACAATTCGCTACAGCCACTAGCCCAACATCTCCCGGTAGCCCGCGGGGATTTTATCTTGCCACAGCGCTCGCAGGTCCCTCCGGGCAAACTCTGCTACTGGCCGCAGGCAGCAGTTGGCCTCGGAGGTCACAAGGTCGTGGAGCTCCCAGAGGGAGTCCGCCTCGAGAAACTGATACATCACAACTCCGCTTCTTCTCTTTGCATTAAAACGGTGCAATTTTTTGTTTGTTTTTAAAGCACACACGCACGTGGGCGTGGCGTAGAGGGTTTTCACCTCTCTGTAGGTAAAAATATAAAAAGTAAACGGGGTGCATCACGGGGAATTACTAATCTCTCTCAATACCAGCAGAGGAGAGAACTACGTACTATAATATCATCTACAATAATGTATTTGTTACTACTAGTACTACGCAAAATGACATTAACCGGAACTATGAAAGACCTGGGAAGACTTACAGATTTCGGAGGACAGCAGCCACCACCTCCTCCTCCTCAACAAGAAGAAGAAGAAGATTCTGTATAAAATACAGGACAGGTGGCAAACCCAGCTCGGTCCCAATGACAGCGCGACTTGACGATGGAAAACCGCAACCTTCAAAAAATAGAAGCAGCGTCCCTATTTCGGTGACGGCCTATCGTTTGCATAAAATCTCATCGTTCGTCACTGTTTCAAAATTGTTATTGTTATCAATTACTGTGACATCCTTCACGTCGATGTTTTGAAAAAAAGAATCCACCTGCCATGTACTCCTCGGCGGGGAAGAACATCCCTTGTGTCCTCCTCCCTCCTCCTCATCAACAACAGCGACAGAAGATTTTTTAAAATCCCCGTGTGGATCTCACCATCCTGGGATTCCACTTCTCATCGGTCCGACTTTTCCCCAACCCTCCCCCCCGCACAAGGCCACATCTACCACCACCACCGCCACCACGGCCGCCACTGGCCGCCGTTGCCGGATATCCACCTGGATATCCTCCCGCCGCGAAGACTGCTCACATGCGCGTCTCGTAAGTGACGGGCGACGCTGCGCCATCCTCGGCCGCCCCCTCCTCGCCGGCGCCGTCGGCGTCCTTGCCGCTGCGCGCCCCACGCTTCCCCTCCTCCTTAGCGGCGGCGGCGTCGTCGTCGTTGGACAGCTTGCTGTACGCGTGGCAGTGCCCGTGCAGCTTGATGAAGTGGCGCCCGTCCCCGCCCGCTCCGTCGCCTCGCCTCGAGCCCAGCAGCGGGGAGCTCTCCACGTGGTTGCGCCCGCCGTCGTAAAAGCCTCCGCGCACGTGGTTCCCCAGCGCTGACGCGCTCCCGCTGTCGCCGCCGCCACCGGCACAACCGCCGATATCTCCGCAGCCGCCAACGACGCCGCCGCCAGCGGTGGCCGCGCCGGCGTCACCGTCGCCGCCCGGGTGACGCCCGACCGGCGCCAGCAGCTCCACCTTCTTGTGCAGCAGCGCCCGGGCCAAGTCGGCCGCCCCTCCCACGTCGTCCTCCCAGGACAGCGCGCTCTTCTTGCCGTTCTCCGGCGCGGACGGCGAGCCCTTGATATTGTAGAGCAGGGGCGCCGGCTTGCGCTGCTCGCCTGCGTAAGCCCTGCCGGAGGGCGCCGGTGCCGGCGCGGCGATGGAGCCGCCGCCGCCGCCGCCGCCAGCCGTCGCCGACTCGGACAGAACCTCGCTGCCGGACTTCGCGACGAACCTCACGGAGGAAACGTTCCCGTTCAGCTCATTGACCGCTGGGTGCGACCCCCACAGCAGGGAGCCGTGGGAGGCGCTCGACAACTTGGAGGTACCGGCGCCAACACCGGCAACGTCGCCGGCGCCGACACCACCGCCAAACACGTGGCCGTACGCGGGGAAGACGCCGGTGGTCTGGCTCCCGTCGCGGCTCGGCTGCACGTCGAACTTGGGCATGGAGAAGTGCGGGGCGCGGGGCGGCTCGGCGAGGAGGCGCGGGTGGGCGTGGATGTTCCCCTGCGAGCCGTACGCCTGGTGACCGCGGCGCCGGCACGGCGTGCTCGTGGTGGTCGAGTCGGGCGTCTTGCCCAGGAAGTCGGCGCTGCAGCTCGCGAAGCTGTCCAGGCTGGAGAAGCTCTTCTTTGTGTCTACGGCGGGCGGCTCACGCAGCATGCCGCCGCCGCCGCCGCTGCCGGGCTGGAACGCCGCCGGGCCCGCGCCGCCGTGCGGCGGATGTGGCAGCGGCGGCGGTGGCCCCAGCAGCAACGTCGTCAGCTGCTGCTGCTCCGGCGGCTTGCGCGGACGCTCCAAGCTCATCAGCTTGTCCGTGAATGCGTCCTCGAAAGTTTCGTTGGTGGCTCCTCCTCCTCCGCAGCCTCCTCCTCCGCCACCGCCGCCGCCGCGCGCCGTCGCGGGCCCGCCGACCATCTCGTTGTAGTCGTCGTTCAGCTTCTGCGCGTCGAGATTGAGCGGCGCGGCGGTGGCGGCGGCGGCGGCGGCGGCGCTCGCGGCGTTGTTGCTGCGGTTTTCCTCGGCGAGGCTGTCGAGGCGCTCGGCGCCGTCGAAGGACCTGGCGGAGCTCGTCTCCGACATGGTGCGCTTCCGCCACCGCCACTTGCCCGGCGAGTGCGCGCCGCGGTCCACGAGCACGTCGGAGAGGTCGCCGCCCTGCGGGAAGACGTCGCGCGAGTTCATCGACACGATGCTGCCGTTGCGCTTGGCGCGCTCGAGCGCCTCGCGCCGCTTCACCGCCTTCTCCTGTCGCTTCTGCTCCTTGTAGAACTCGCTGAAGTTGTTGACGATGATGGGGATGGGCAGCGCGATGACGAGCACGCCCGCGATGCAGCACAGGCCGCCCACGATCTTGCCGAGCAGCGTCTGCGGGTAGATGTCGCCGTAGCCCACCGTGGTCATGGTGATGGTGGCCCACCAGAAGGATGCGGGGATGCTGCGGAACTTGGTGTCGTCCTCGTCCTTCTCGGCGAAGAAGACGAGGCTGGAGAAGATCATGATGCCCATGGCGAGGAAGAGGATGAGGAGGCCCAGCTCGTTGTAGCTGCGGCGCAGCGTGAAGCCCAGCGACTGGAGGCCTGTCGAGTGGCGGGCCAGCTTCAGGATCCTCAGGATCCTCATGATGCGGAAGATCTGGACGACGCGGCGGACGTTCTGGAACTGCAGCACGCTGTGGTTGGACTCGGTGAGGAAGATGGTGATGTAGTAGGGCAGGATGGCCAGGAGGTCGATCACGTTCAGGGCACCCTTTGCAGACGCGAAATGACAAAAAAAAAACAAGCCAATAGTCACACTTGGCGCGTCAACGTTCGGCTTTGGGGAGTGAAGCAATTGGAGCGAGATTTGATTGGGTTGATTTGGAGGGTTTCCCTGGATCTGCTTTATGTATCCATGTAGCTATGTTGAACTTCTTTCGCACCGCACATAGCCAACCGTGCTCATCGGAGGTGTGCGGGAAGGACAACAAACTAAACACAAAAAGCAGTGAGAAAGAAATGAGTTTTCAATCGACTGCACTTTCAGCTGTTACCATACAGGATGTAAAGTTTGACGCCGCAAGCTGAGTCGAGCGGGGGTCGCGCTCGAGATTGCTTGGGAGTTGCCAGGCGCTGGAAGCGCAACAGTGGATTCTTAAATCTGTCTGTGCGAAGCTTCTAGTGTCACCCCCACCACTCCCCCCCCCCCCCCCCTCGTATTTAGCGTGGCGCTGGGTTTTCTCCGGGTGATCCGTTTCCTCGCTCGCTCATTTCTTTATTCATTGGACAAAGATCCCAATGCAGCAGGACCTTCAAAACCTTGAGACCCAGTGAGACTTCCCAAGGTCAAAAGGAGTATTGGTTAATTCAACGGTGCACGTAACACATTCATGTGGAGGGAGCTGGTAGGAACGTTGGGTTGCTCGGTCAATGGCCAGGGTCAACGGCGGCGTGGTGTATTCCGCAAATATGGCCGACTGTGAGGGCGGGCACAAGCCGGCGTGAGTAGGTAAAACGTTGAGTTTTATAAGGGCACCACGGGGTGACCAGCCCCTCCCCCGACCCAGCCTCACCCCTCCCACCCCCCACCCAGCCCCACACTCCACACCCAGCCCCTCCCCACCCTCCCCTCCCTGGTACAAAATAACATTTTCGCTAAACAGAGGTGGCTGGTTTAGGGTCAGAGGTCAGAACCACTGATCCAGCATCACCTGGTCACGAATGACTGAAAAAAAAAACTACCCCATCGTGTTAGATTTGCTCTTTCATGTAACTTGGCAAAACATTCCAGCTGTGAGCTTTTAACATGTCTGTGACAAATGATGTCTCTGTAACCGGGCATATGAGAAAATATTGTTTTCTATTCTATTTCTATGTGACCAGGCAAGGCCCACTGAGCTATTTATTTAAAAGCGACCAATCCACAAACGATAGTTCAACGAAGTGGCTCGTCCAGAGGACTCGGAGGAAAATCCACGCGACCACGGGGAGAGAAACTCCAAATTTTCAGGTGTCAGGGTCGGGACCGAACTCACGACCTCCTGTATACCAGGCGAGAGAGTGTGTGTTCTGGGGCACTTGAAGGGAACTTAGTTCTTTGAGGATCTCCTTCGACGGACTGATCATCTAACACGTGGAGTGATGCACGGCTCTGTGAGAGTTCTAAATTAGCCCTTCGTCTCACACTACGACATCGACAGTGCAACTGAAATAACATTTAGAAAATGATAAAATGTAACAAACATATCATCGCCTTCATCTATCCTCTTCCAACACATCTAGTTAATCCAATGCTGGACCAACTACCACCATAGACTTCTCTCTGGTGGAGGCTCTTCCATCAGCAATGAATAGCCCGCTAAGCAACAGCGGTCAGATTGCGCATGTAAGTAATACCCATTATTTACACGGGCAAGCCTCGCAGAGTGTTAAACACATTTTCAACGCTGCGGCCGTCACCTTGAAGAACTTCCACTTGCTGGGCGAGGAGAGGAAGCGCAGCATGTACTCGGTGGTGAACCACGCGATGCACACCGCCTCCACGTGCGCCAGGCTCGGGTTGTCCATCACGTTGCCGTACTCGTCCGTCTCCTGCAGGTCGGGCAGCGTGTTGAGCGACAGCGCGATGGTGGACAGCACGATGAAGAGGATCGAGATGATCGCCAGCACCTTGGGGGGAGACGGGGAGGCAGAGGGCAGAGGATGGGGGTTGTTTTTTTTTACTGGCGAGTTACAGTACGGTAAGTCGTTCGCTTAACGCGTGTTCATGCGATGAGTTTTCGCTGTTACGCAGTTCTTCAATTCAGGAACAATGTTTCGCACAACACGCTTACTGAGCTGGCGATGACGAACTACTTTCTTGAGCTGCGCGACTGAGCAGTTCGATACATCCTGCGGAATGATGCAGTAACGGGGGCAGCGTGACCCACAACAGGCATTAGGGACGGGATCGAACCCACGACCTCCTGCATACCAGGCGAGGGAGTTAACATCTCGCCACCACGGCGCCCCCGTTCTTTCTCCCGCCACGGGATCACTGCAGGCTGACTTTATGGTGCGAACTTGATTCGGGAGCAGTAATTCACCGCTTCACGCGGTTTTCGCTCAGCGCGAACTCTTTCCGGAATGCACCCGGCGCGTTACGAGGAATTGCTGCCCACGTAAACACAACACGCGTGTGCTGCTGCTGCAGCGGCGTGATTGGTCAGCAGTGCGCTGGAGGTCGCCGGTTCAAATTAGATCTCCCGGCGCGGCAGTTGAAACGTTGGGGCCAAGTTGCTTGAATCCCAAGTCCGCAGCCCTGTCCACACAGCAGTGTAGATGGGTACCCCTAACCCCCCCCCCCTCCCTGCCCGCCACAGTCAGTTGATCGGCACGTCACGTGTGGTGGGGTAAAATGTGGGTACTCACAGCTATTACAAAATAATCTGGCCAGCGTGGAAGAGTAGGCCAAGTACTGCTCTGGAGAGGCTCCATAGAGCTTCATCTATTGGTGGCGCCGCATCGTTACGTTCTGAGCAACGCCAAAGCGGCACGGTGGACGTCAAACACTGCGGGCTTATTTCGTTGGCGAGTGCACGAGGCCACCTGATCCTGAGCCTTGGGTTATCGAGGCTAAAGGTGCGTCTGCCATTGTAGGTACGCGCCTTTGCGGGGAGCGGTGGTGTAGCGGTTAGCGCCGCGCTACGAATCCGGCGGCCCGGGTTCGTTTCCCGCTCACGGCAAACACCGATGACGATGATCTGAAACCGCCCAGGGCCTCCCCTAGGTCGACTCAGCGTCATATGAGTATCTAGTGCGGTGTGTAATCACAGCCACTAGGGAGACAAAGGCGGCCGGGCGTGGTGCTGGCTACCGACCCCCTAGTGTGCCGTGCCGGCCTTCAGAGGTGCTCGCTTACAGCACTTGCCCCAGCAGTCTGTTCAGGCTATACGGGGAATCTTTGTCTTTGCCTTCACTCCCAGAGGCACTTGTAAAACATAGTGGAATGGCAGCTCCAACAAGATCCACGTGTTGCTTTGTGTATTTTGTGCTCAGGGTGTAAATTTTTAATGGGAAATGTATATGGGAATTTTATATGAGAAGTAGTTTTATATGGGAATTTTAATTGGGAAGTATTTTTAAATGGAAATTTTATATGGGAATTTTGTATGGGAAGTCTTTTTTTCATATTGGAAGCCTAAACGGTGGAGCAGCTGTCGAGTGATCAGGTCACGAGTTCAAATCCTGGTTGGGGATTGACTCAGCCCATCATCCCTCTGGGCCCAATAAAACTGAATACCACTTTGTGGGGCAGCTGACAGTGGTCGTCCTATGGATAGACTCACCGCACCCCACCAGGGGAATGTGGAATTTCCACCACTGGCTCAAAGACGATAGAACAGGAGATGTGTACCGCCGAGATGCTCATTTGAGCAAAAACACTGACTTTTGTTATTGTTGTTAGCATAAAGTAAAAAAATCATGGACTTTTATTAGCAATAAGCTCCTCAACAGCAGTCGTTTCGTGAGTTTAAGTGTCGAAGCGCAGGCCTAACGTATGTTTTCATTGCGTAAACAATAACAATCTGAAAAAAAGTAAGTTAGATCTTTGCTTCACGCGATCAGGCCACGGGCGCCATTGTGGCGAGATGTTAACTCCCTCGCCTGGTATGCAGGAGGTCGTGGGTTCAATCGCGACCCTGACGCCTGCTGTATATTTGGAGTTTGCGTGTTCTCCTTGTGACCGCGTGGATATTTCTCCGGACCTTCCTCTTTTCCCCTCCACATTTAAAAACAAGCGTTTTGTGTTTATGGCTGCTATTCATTTCCACACCATGATACGCCACTTTGTTGAGCTATCATTTGTGGCCAGCCGCTTCCGAAAAAGAGCTATTCAGCTCAGTGGGCCTTACCTGGTTAAATGCATAAAAAAAAATTAAAGCGTTGTTCTTTTCTCGTAACACTTTAACCCGTATACGCGTGAAAAAAAAATTCGCCGGGGCTCCGAAATGCGAGCGCTGGATTGAGACATCGATTAGCGGCACTTCTTCGAGCCGCGAGGCATCAACCAACGCTTCGCGAGAGGTCACGCGGCTCCTCCTCGCCGCTCGGCATCATTTGAGACCGCACGGCGGCGAAGAGCGGACGCGCCGGCAAATTTTTTGTTATTTTGCTCGTTTCATGCCACAGAGATAAGGAGAGAGAGGGGTGGGTATGGATGTGGGGAGGGGGGGGGGCAATTCTCAGATTGAGTATTCGAAGCTTGATTTTTTTTTATCTGCGTCGAAATGTCAACGGCGCAATGAACGACGAACACGATTACACGTGTCCATGTTCACGGCGTGCCCCGGAGCTGTCGAGCCGAGAGTGAAACGGTGGTGGTCACGCGCGCACGCAGTCGCATGCCCCCCCCACCCTGTACTCTCCCTCCTCTTCCCCTAACGTCTCTCAGCATTGCTCCGCAGCTCAGCTTTTCACAACACACATACGATGCCTGCACCACCCACACATCCAAGAGAGGTCGCCCGTTTCTAGACTGTTGGGGCAACTGCTGTGTTAGCGAGCAACTTACGAAGGCCGTCAGGGCACAAGGGGTGTGTGTGTGCCGGAACCAAGTCCTTCCGGTGGCGATGTTTACACACCGCATCGGGTACTCATTTGAGGCTGAGTCGACCTAGGTTGAGACCCAGGACCGGTTTACATCATCGTCACTGGCGGTGGCCGAGAGCCGGGAATCGAACTCAGGGTTTCGTAGCGCAGTGCAGCGCCGCGCTAACCGCGACGCTGTCGTTCCCCGCACATCGACACCGCCACACGCCGACACGCCAACACACTCGCAGACCAACATACCAACGCACTCGCAGACCAACATACCAACGCACTCGCAGACCAACATACCAACGCACTCGCAGACCAACATACCAACGCACTCGCAGACCAACATACCAACGCACTCGCAGACCAACATACCAACGCACTCGCAGACCAACATACCAACGCACTCGCAGACCAACATACCAACGCACTCGCAGACCAACATACCAACGCACTCGCAGACCAACATACCAACGCACTCGCAGACCAACATACCAACGCACTCGCAGACCAACATACCAACGCACTCGCAGACCAACATACCAACGCACTCGCAGACCAACATACCAACGCACTCGCAGACCAACATACCAACGCACTCGCAGACCAACATACCAACGCACTCGCAGACCAACATACCAACGCACTCGCAGACCAACATACCAACGCACTCGCAGACCAACATACCAACGCACTCGCAGACCAACATACCAACGCACTCGCAGACCAACATACCAACACACTCGCAGACCAACATACCAACGCACTCGCAGACCAACATACCAACACACTCGCAGACCAACATACCAACGCACTCGCAGACCAACATACCAACGCACTCGCAGACCAACATACCAACGCACTCGCAGACCAACATACCAACACACTCGCAGACCAACATACCAACGCACTCGCAGACCAACATACCAACACACTCGCAGACCAACATACCAACACACTCGCAGACCAACATACCAACACACTCGCAGACCAACATACCAACGCACCCGCACGCACGCGCGCACACACCCACACACCCGCGTGCACAACTGAGCTCCCCAGAGGCGGTCGACGCTTCTGAATGGAATACATTTTTAATGCGACTTATTCCTCTGCCGCTAGAGCCCTGCCACTAGGTCCAGTGATGCCGTCCGACAGGCTGGTGTCCTGGGTGGGCGACGCCAAGCCTCGTGGTGCCGTGCGCAGAGACAGATCCGCATCGTATGATGATAAATGTTGAGGGTTTACTCTCCAACACACAAGCGGTGTGCTGAACTAGTAACGAATTGGCACGTTTTGTTCACGTGACAAACCTTACTAATTGGCCGTGTCGGGTGGTGGCGGGTTTAACGACACGTTACAATTTACGCGATCTAACCCAAAAGCCCTCTATTATGGACGTAAATAGATCTTTGTTGGACTTCTTTTGCACCGTACGTAGCCAACCGTTCTAATCGGAGGTGCACCGTGGCTGCCGCGTGGCTATTCGTGAAGGAGCTTTCGTGGATATCCGTGAGATTATGGATGTTCATGAGTCGCGGTGGCGAGATGTTAACTACCTCGCCTGGCATACTGGATGATCGTGCGTTCGATCCCGACCACGACGCCTGTTCTGCGTTTGGAGTTTGCGTGTCTCTCTTCCCATGGTCGCGTGGATTTTTTCTCCGGGTACTCCAATTTCCACTCCACATTTAGTAACGTGTATTTCGAGTATTTGGCTGCTTAAAATGTCACAACGATGATAAGCCGTTTCGTTGAGCTAGATTTTGTGGCCATGTCGTTTCTGAAAGAAGAGCTACATAGCTCAGTGGGCCTTACCTAGTCAAATAAAAAAAGTAAAGTATGTTTAGTTAATTTGGTGATGCTGCTTGCTGCTGCTGCTACTGCGTTGGCAGCGGTGCACAATCACAAATAACAAACAATCTCAACGTGTTCGTCAATAACGCCATATGGCTTTAAAATATAAATATATAAACAGGCGACTTATCTGGCAATGGAACTTTTTCAAAGGACAAAATTAGGGCCACAGATGATCCACAAACTACTCAAATGGGATTACACATCTATGCACGTATGTATGTGTTGAACGTCTT